TGGTCCTTGCGTTCCCAAGTAAATTCAGGCTCTCGCTTGGCGTTCCAACGGGCCTTCACTATGGTTATGCGGCTTTGTTATTTTACATTATGTCAAGTCCTCAAGAACGCACTCACCCTGTGATAACTACTTCATTTGGGTATACGACTTTGTTTTGTTCTCTTGACTTCCCTGTCCATAATTTCCACTGGTTCTTCGACGAAGTGGAGACTCTCGTTGATTTCGATCTCGTCAAGTGGAATGACGAGAGTCTCATCGGATAAGCATTTCTTCAAGTTGGACACATGAAAGGTGGGATGCACGTCACTGAGTTCCTACGGTAGTTGAAGTCTGTAAGCTACCGGGCCAATCCTACCAAGGATCACGAATGTCCTTATATACCTTGGATTCAGTTTCCCATGTTTTCCAAAATGTATCATTCCCTTCTAGGGTGAGACCTTCAATAGTACGTGGTCACCAACCTGGAATTCCAAGGGTCTTCGTCGTTTATCTGCATAACTCTTTTGTCGATCTCGGAATGCCTTAAGTCGTTCACGAATCTGAACGATCTTCTCCTTAGTTTCTCGAATGATCTCAGGGCTGGTGAGTGTGTAATTAGGCACTTGTCCCTTTGCTAGCTGCATGTCACCCACCTCGGCCCAGCACAGGGGTGATCTTCACTTCCGTCCATAGTGGGCTTCAAATGGAGCAACTTTGATGCTAGTGTGATAAATGTTGTTGTACGAAAACTCGATGAGTGGTAAGTGGATATCCCAGGCTCTACCGAAGTCTATCACATAAGCTCCCAACATATCTTCCAACGTTTGAATTGTTCTCTCACTCTACCCGTCGGTTTGTGGGTGGTAGGTTGTACTCATGTCCAGTCTAATTCCTAAAGACTTTTGTAGTGTTTTCCAAAATCGTGAGGTAAACCTGCTAACTCTGTCGTAGATAATAGATATTGGCACTCCATGTAACCGTATAATCTCCTTGATGTACGTCCTAGTTATTGGCACTACATTTGAAAATTATCTCATGAGGAGGGACCAAATGTGTAAAGCGTGCATAAGTTTGCATGGAGACAAGATTTAAACCCGATGCCCTTCAAAAACGTTGGATGGATGCGTCTCAAGAAACCCTAACCCTAATGAACTCCTCCAGCCTCCACCTTCCATACGTGACCTTTCAGCCGTCACCTCCCTCTTTCATCCTTCCGAATGGCCAAGGCCACCAAGGGAGCCGTCGTTGACCTTGATTCTTCCCCCCACGTTGAGATGGCTCTAGATCATTATGGAGTGGTGGTCTACGAGTGGCATTGTTCCATCGACCACCGATACCGGTCGACGCCTCGCCTCCATGGTGAACCATCGTCTTGCTCATTGCATTTCTCGTTGCCAGAGACGAACATGATATAAGTGGATGGACGTTCTTTCATGTCGTCGCTACTGCTGCACTCGGAAGGAACCGCAACGCCTTGTATCTTCTCCATCTCGTTCTATTACCATACCCTTGCCACCTCTGCTACTCCGAGCAGTTGCCGAGGGTTGCTGCCAATCGCCATGACCACCGCAGGCCGCTGTGAAGGAAGACAATGTCCGTGTCTCGCAAATCGGGTGTGTATATCGTTGTTGTATTGCATTTAGTGTGCGTGTTGCGTGACCGGAAAGCTAAAATAAAATCCATCACCATCACCGTGAGGTGGTGGCTAGCATCTCCGACCACCGCCTGCCACCACAAGGGTGGTTGTGTGTGTGTGTGTGTTTGTGTTATACTATGTGTGTATTCTTTTGATAATATCTTGTATGTACATTATTTGGACGGAAAACCCGAAGAAAACCCACCACCACCACCGTGAGGTGGTGGCTGCCACCTCCAACCACCACCTGCCACCACAAGGGTGGCTGGGTGTGTGTGTATGTGTTATTTGTGTGTGTGTGTTTATTTAGATATTCCGTTGTAATATTGTATTTTTACCGGAATAATTAAGGAAATTTGTCACCACCACCGTGAGGTGGTGGCCGCCGCCTGAGCCGCCATTGACCACCACTACCCGAGGTGGTAGTGGGTGGTGCCCAACTTTATTAATAATTAATTAACCTAAAAACCTAACCATTTGGTTAATTGGCAAACGATTGGGTTGGAAACCTAATTAGGGTTAATTTTGTATATGTTAATTTGGAATTGTCGGGACTTGCAAGTTTGGACCATTAGATTGGAATCATGAATTAATCCCAACAGCATTGTATGTTGACCTAGTAGAGTGAAGGACTTAATGGATTAAGTCCTTAATAGGTTGAGTAAGAAACACTTAACCCTAATCGTTATTTTATGTGAAAACCCTAATTTTGCTTGGGCTTTGAGTTGGGCCTTTATATTGGGCTTTGGTGATTGAGCTATCGATGGGTCATCCAAGAACAATCATATGGACTAGAATATTTGAATGAGCTTTAGGGTAAGACCCATGTGAGGGGTTTGGGCCCAATTTGGAAAATTATGCCATAGATGGGCCATAACTGGGCCTTAATGATTATGAAGTGTTGGACCATTGGAATGCCAAATGGTTGGACTGGAATAAATGGTTGGGCCTTAGGTAAGACCATGTAGAGGTTTGGTCCCAATTTGGAAAATTGGGTCATATGTTGGACTTTGGTTCATAGTTTGACTTTTGGGCCTTTGGATTGGGCCTTGGGCTTGAATATAGCTAAGTTAGGGGTAAAGTAGTCTTTTACCCCAAGCATGGACTTATGGTTACATGTTGGAACCCAATTATTAATTGGGTGTCATTTTGATGTTGACAGTTTGGGAATCTGTCAACCAGAAGCTAGAGTTTGTCCGCAAGACTTTAGCAGTGCGAGGTGAGTCTCCTCACCATACCAATGGGTCGAAGGCACCAAGGACAACCCATTTTATGATATATGGTACACTAGTTTATATAGTGTTATGTGGCATGTTAGCTGGTTATGTGTTAGGAGGTATGCTAGTTGTATATGTGTTATACTTGTATGGAAGACCATGGCAGAGCCCATGACACTTAGATGTAAGGCCATATGGAGAGCCCATGGCTTTCATATTAAAAACCATGGGGGAGCCCATGATACTTGGATGTAAGACCATGTAGAGGAGCCCATGACTTTTCAGGTCAAGACCATGGGGTAGCCCATGCCACTTGGATGTAAGACCATGTGGGGAGCCCATGACACTTAGGTGTAAGACCATGTGGGGAGCCCTTAACATCCTGGAGTAAGACCCTAGGGGGAGTCCACGACATCCTTATATGTTTACATGTTTGGTTTGTGTATGCCAGTTGATTATGTGACATGCGGTACATTAGTTGTTTATGACCATATATGATATGCTAGTTGTCTTTGTGATACTCGCATGGAAGACCCCGGGGGAGCCCATGGCAATTGGATATCAGACCATGTAGGGAGCCCATGACATTCCTTACATGTTCATATGCAAGGCTTATGTGATTGATATGGCTTATGTGGTTTATATAGTTGATATAGCTTATATAATTTATGTGATTATGTGGACTATGTGGGATATGCTCTGGGGAACTCACTAAGTTTCGTGCTTACAATTTTGATTATGGTTTCAGGTATCATCGATTTGGAAAGCAAGGACCCAGCTTGATCGCAGCGCATACACTTGTGTTTCCGCAATATATGATTTTGGGACGAACTCTAATGAATGTTTTTAATTAATCATGTTTTTGAAATGTCTGGATTTAAGAGATATATGTGCTTTGACTGTATTGAAAAATAAAAGTTTTACCCTTGATTTTTGGGTCGTTACATTTGCTAGATTATCCATATTGTGTTCATAAAATCACTAGTTTTTGCGGTTTTGAGTTTTATGGCTTTTTCATGAGAACATCTAGCATGTTTATGCTTGTTTTTCATAGTTTTGTATTTTAAACAAACTTTTGCATATAAAAGTTCATAAAGCTTGATAATAATATCATTTCATGTATTTAGCATTTTTACACAAGTAAGAAAACATGCATAACAACTTGTATATTAACACACTTTACTTGTGTTTTACTTGTATTCTCCCCCCTAAAACTTAGAAATCTCGAAAATGGAGGGATACGAACTCATATTTGGAATGGTTTTCTTGATGAATGGAAGATTGTGGATGGAAAGGTTCAAGCCAAAAACACTTGAAGAACACTTTGAAGATTTGAAGATCCTATGAATAGTAACACATGAAATGTGTTTAAATGGAAATGAAACTAGTATAGAGTGTGTAGAATCACAAGTAGATGAAGAAAATACTTACCAAAACTTCAAGAACACTTGGAAGAAGTTAGGGTTTGAAGATTGAAGCTTAACTTGGAGAGGAAGAACACGGGAAAAAACTAGTTTACGCATGCACCCCACATCATCTTACTCATATAAGACTATAGCCTAGAATCCTTTTTACCAATTGTGTAAGTTTCTAGTACAGATACCGTGGTTAATAAAATACAAATACCCATAATATTTACTATCGGAAAGTAAACCACAAAGTGATTACATCTATACTAATCACAATTACAAAATATAAAATACTTGTAAATGCATAAATGTAAATATTAAAAAATGGGGATGTATGGTGTGTTTCCTCAATAAGGGGCTTGTGGACTTTGTTAGAATTACTTTGGCATGTTGGATTAATGAGGTTTTTTAAAGTTAACTCAAACTATAGTACACGATTGTGAGTGGTAATATTCACAATATTTGAACCCTCTTAAATAAATGTAGAATGCATTTGGACCTTAACAACCAGGAAGAAAGACTAGAATATTCTTGTAGATGGTTGGGAAAGAGACTCCCAAAGTTGCATGTTAATTTTAAAAGGTTCTCATAGGAAAGTTTAAAGATGATACAAATTAAGCCCTCTAAAAACAAATGTGAGCTTGCACCTATATCTAAATTCTTTTACCAATTCTCCCTCATTGATCACTATATGTGTTTAGATCATCTGTACATTATCAATCGCACAACTTGTCAGAATAAATATCTTAACCACCCTCTTCAGCCACCTCCACCACCATTCACAGCCGCCGCGGTGGCGGCCGTTTCCTCCATCGCCGCCTGAAGCAGCTCTTCCGGTGTTGCGGCAGGGTCAAGATCCCAACACCCATCTGGCAAATTCAAACCTTCACCTTGTAACAAACAAGATGGAACCTGATGTGAAAACCGCAACATTTCTCTCTTTGAAATCCACCGAACCGAATTCTCATTAGGGTTCCGCCTGTACACCGTTTTGTACCCTTCTAACTTCACCAGATCCGCCACACAAACACCACGTTCGTCGGAATAATCACCAAGAACCACCACCATTTTGTACTGGTGCACCACCTCTTTTGGTGTTTTGCGGTTCCAATTTTCCGACCAGTTCCGGTACACCGCCCATATGTCGCCGGATTTCGGGTATATCCTAACACAACCACCTCTCCCAGCCTTCTCTCTCCCCAAAAGATGAGAAAAAATGTTGACTTGATCAACAACATCCGAATGAAAAACCCTAAAATTTCCACACGATTTCGTGAATCCAGATTCAATCCATTTACAACAACCAAATTCCGAATCCGTTTTTGAATTCAAATAACTGATATAAACCCTAAACGGTTTCACAGACAAAACCTGGCGAATCAAACAGTAAAGCCGAGGCATTCCATCTTCTTCATCATAAATCCCCCATATTTGCTTCGCTTTGAACACTTCCTCTGATCTATCCATATCAAAATCATGGAAATCCGGGTCGGGTACAACTATAGTTTTCTTCGTTAATTTCCCCTTCTTTTCAGCCTTTAAATCCAACTTCATCTCTTCTAATTTGACACGAATCACGGATCTTGCTTTATCAATCAATAACTTTCTGGCATCAAAACACGTGGCAGCAACCACCGCATCTGGTTCTGTAAATGAACCCATTTCACCATTCCCATCACCCACTTCATTCTTTCGTTTTTTCGGAGCTCTGCCAACCTTACCAATCGGGATTTCACCATTTCCGTTCACTTTTGCTCCGGCGACTTTTCCGTTAAGAACAGTGTTCACGGAATTGTAGGAGAACCCGTTAGGATCAGAAATAGCACAGGTGTTCCACTGAAACGAGACGTTGTTGGTGAACTCGGGCCCATATCCAGAATGAAAACCCAAACCCGACCCGTGTGTATGGCTTGCTACCCCGTTATCTACAGTATACGACCATGGGCAATACGTAACTGGAACAGCTCCCGTTTCAACGGCGACAAAAACCCCACGACAGTTCTTACATGATAATCTTTTGTTCACATACTTTCGAAGATATTCATACTGGACTCGACACGATGTGCACACAGTCCAAAACGTGTCAAGTCTGGGAGGTGCAACCATGGCTAATAAGTTCTTGTTTCTTCTCAGATCGTATATGTTTCTTTTTGTATTATCGGACAACACAGTCCATGCTTCTGAAACGAGCTTGAAGGCTTCATTGGCTCCAATGGTTTTGTTCTTATCTGGGTGTAAAAGGACAGCCATCTTTTTGTACTGTTTTTTCAGTGTGGATTTGTCTGCAGATGGGTTTAATCCAAGAACTGAATAAAGGTCGATTTCCCCGTTGATTTTGGTGTTGGAAGCTGCGTGTATTTCAAAAGTGGCCACCATTTGAGCGATGCCTTCAAGCTGGGGGTAAAAAGCTTGAGCTTTTAATGCAGACCATTTTGCACCTGCAAAGTCTTTCATGGCGAATAGCTTTTCTGCATTCTCTTTAGCTCTACGAGCTTCTTCTACATTTGGTTCCATCTCAATGGTTTAAAACTTGAACCAGATCCTGTAAAATTATAAACCAAATCCAAAATGTTAGTAATTTGAAAATCACATTCTGAGCATATGATAACAATTTAGACATTTGAGTCGTCCTCTATAGAACTTTAATTAGTGTAATTATACAAAATCCACAAATTGGAAGACCTTGTGATAACTCAAGCTTAAGTCAATAACTACTTAATCGCATGTTTGATCCACGACAGAAGTAGAATTTACAGATAACAGTAAGATTGATTACAAGTTCGCAACCGAATTTCAACAATTAAACACAATCACGAGTTAGAATGTTCAGAATCAGACAGCAAGATTCAATCTGGTAAGAAATTGTTGGTTAAACGAATAACCCAGTTCGTCTAAACAAGAACCCATGAAAATCCGACCTCAACCATTACCTTACACTGCGATCGCAGCTCAAGTGAGCTAAAAGATCAAACCTTTATACATTTAAAAACCCTAAATTTCAACCGTTTCACAATTAGCGGTAGAAAAACACGAAATTGAAGTAAAACTTACTTAGATCCGCATTCTGCAGCAATTGAACATCAACTAGATCTCAAATCAGCCGGTGGATTCCTTTTGGTTTGCTTCGGGTATCAGTTAATGGAGTAACTTTTTGTAAATCTTGAAAAATGGAAAGGGAAAAAAGATTAAATTTCCCCTTAAAGACTAACCAAACTGAGTATTGCTTGATATTTATACCAGGATGAAAGACTAGGATTTTGATAAACTTGAAACCAGAAAAGGGAAACACCGTGGGATTCCGGCCGCTGAAGACGGAGGAGGTGGAAGAAATTATGATAGCGGCAAATCGCCGACCAGATATATCGATATATATTTGTTTAACAAATAAAATATGATCATGTAATGATTGCGTAGTGAAAGTTCTAAGTGAAGCGTTAAGGTTTAATTTAGGTTAGACCTTTGTTACAGAGCAAAGATTTCCTAGTTCGGAACATTATACAATTTCTACTACATATTGTACAAGTATTTATAACAAGTTTAGACTGAAGTTGGAGATTTGAGGTCTGTGGAAAAGGAGTTGCTTTTTGTTCATGTGATAAAAGGGTAGCAAAGGGGCGCATATGTGCGTGGTGCGCACCCAGCGTGGGGTAGGGTGGTGGTGTTTGGTAGTGGGAAAAGTGAACCTGGTTTGGTCCCAATGAGGATCTAAGATTTAAAGGAACCTTTTTTGGAAGTTGAGGTTTCAATTTGTGCGTTTGTTAGATACTTTAAGAATGTTATATGCAAGTCTCTTTGGTCGAGTGGTGTATATATTGATTTAGTTGTTGTTTGTTTTTCTTAAGTTAAAATATCTGCAGTCTGTGGATTATATCTACAAGTTTCTGTAGTTGAAGAGGTGGATCAAACGTTTGCAGTCTATAATATGAAAACTGTTTTTTTTTAATGTATGCAGGCTGCTGAAATAAATTGAATTTTAAATAAAATGATTTTACAAACTTAAATGTTTTCAACACCAAAATTTTAATAATAATAATCATACAACACTCAAAATAAAATTCATGCAACTAAATTAGTAATACAATAAAAAAATGGTTTTACAATAACAATTCATATTAGAATCGAAATGCAATGTTTTTATAAAGACAAAAATTATTAATGGATTATATAATTCATATTATAATCAAAATGCAATGCTTTTATAAATACTTTAATATAACTCATTGTTTTGGTCTTAAACAATAAACATATTACATTTTTTTTAAAAATTCTAGTCGCACATCATAAAAGTAGAAACATGGTTTTAATGTTCTATTTTTTTCTTTTAATATTATTGAAAAAAATCAATAAACAGGTATATACATTAATAATTAAATAAACATAAAATAAAAAAGTTATAATCACTTATATTTTCAATATGATGGATAAGGAGGTGCCGAAAGAAAAAAAATGTGTATTTTTTTTTTATTTGTTTTGGTTTAGGTTTATTGGGCTTGTGAAGACCTTAGAAGACATTGGTTCATGTCTGTGTCAAGAAGACTTCGCGCAGACGTTTTTAGGTCTGCGCACTTTCAAAAAACAAACGGTTTGCAAGGGCATATGTCTGCGCGTGGTTTGCACGATGCAGACAGAAGTGGTCATGCAGATCTGCAGACAAACAAACAAACAATACCTTAGTAACAATAGATCGGGCATCATTAAGTATTTGGTATGTTTACATATGGGTAAAATTGTGTTTTTTTTTTTTACTTATTTACCCAACTAACTTGTTTCAATCATTCACAAATAACAAACATTACCGGCTAACATAGGTTTTGGCTGATGTGGCATCTATGTGACTTTTACGTTGTAATACTCATCACATACATGGCATTGTATGTATTTTTCATGGTTTACATTATAAGAATGGTGAGATACGTCGTATTAAATAAAACCCTAGATCGATCGATGACATCTTCTTCCTCATCTTTTTCTTCCATGCGACAAGACGAATTGCAATCGGACATCCATGTGATTGCGACTTGCCATATCGTGTGAAGACATCAAGAACTCCCTACAATCCTGGAAAATTTAGAGTTTGTCAAAACTCACTGGTAAATCATTTATTTTTTTTTTACTTCTTCTTCATCCTTCAATTTAACCTGTTTTTATAAATTTATTGAAGAATTGAAAAAGTCCAAGCTGTAAATTTTGGCAATGGTTGGATGAGGATGAAGGGAGGAAAGATGGAAGAATCCATTACATGATGAAACCAGCAGGAAGCTGCAATCTTACCTTGAAAATTTATACCTTGGAGAATGAAATCATCATATGAAGGATGAATATCGAACAAGAGAAGAACAACAATAAACAAGAACCGGACAAAGTCAACTAGAAATTCTTTACTCATAGACTTGCGTTGATTGTGCTGTTTGTAACGCTTGGTTTATTGTGCATTTTCAGTTTAGATCTTGTGGTGGTGTATTGCTTGCTTTTTGGTCCTTGGGGTTAGTACGCAGGGGGTACCATAAGGTACACTTAGCAAACTAACTGAGAAGCCAGTACACGGGGCATACCACATGGTATGCTTAGTGTACTAATTGGAAGTGGATCGTGCATTCATACCTTATACGTGGGGCGTACACCTATGTACGCGGGGGAGTATGAGGGGTTTAGTGAAACCCTGATTTTAGGTTAAATTAAAGGGTGTAGGTATAACAATTAATCCATATATTGGTGTTGTGTGTTCTACCTCCATTTCATCCAAACACACATTAATCTTCGTCAAGATCTCCCCAAGGTGCTCTTGGATCTCAATCTTGATATTATTTGGTCTTTTTTTTCTTTTGCTTTTGATTTATTTTGATTTTTCTATTGTCCCAGTGTCCCATGTTTTCTTTTGGTCATCTCCTCTTTTGAATTCCTACTGTTCTCCATGAAATTGATTTAATTTGTTTCAAATTAAGTCCCTACTGCTTCTTATAGATATTAATATGAAACTCATATCAAAATTTGCAAAAATTCTAATCTAATAAATAACTCATATTTGAAAAGGGTAGCTAGATAGTTATAAACTTACAGGGTCTCTTGTGTTTCCTATTAAGACCACATACTGCCACATATGATGTGATTCTCAAAATCTTTTAAGAAAAAATATAAAAAAGGAACTTCGCCTTATGGATTAAATGACCAATTAAGCTTCTATGTACTTAAATTACTATTGAGATTGTGATTGCTTAGCTTTTTGCACTTCTCAAAGTTAACAAGTTGAAACAGTTTGTAGAAGGATGTAAAGAGTGGTTTGTTACTTCACAGTAGAGAAGTAGAGGTATGTACTATGGCCTTGTTCGGTCTTATTTAAACAAAATCATTCCTAAATGGATCAAGATCGTTACGATTTATAAAAAAAATAACATGTTTTTGAGTTCTTTATTTTCTTTGGAGGCCCACAATTAATTGAATATGGTTCTACATGTGCATGTTATAAGGTTGTGACACTTTACTAACTTATTGTTAGTTAACTTGAACTCTCTACTCAAATTTAATTTTAGTAACTCATATTCAATCATTGATCTTTAGATAACTCATAGTTACCTTAAGAGTAAATTACTGAAATCGTCTCTATGGTTTGATCAAAATTGTACGTTTGATCCCTAATTTTTTTTTTTTTTTTTTTTTTTTTTTTTTTTTGCACTTGGATCGTCATTGTGGTTTGATTTTGTTGTGTTTTTCGTCAATTACATATATAAAGTTAGGGACCAAACTTGCAATTTTAACCAAACCATAGGGACGATCCGAGTGTAAAAAAAAGTTAGAGACAAAACATGCAATTTTAACCAAACCATAAGGACGATTTCAGTAATTTACTCTTACCTTAAATAGAAATCAAATGAAAAATTAGTTCTATCATTGGCTATGTTTCTTTGTTCTATTTAAAATGCAATCTTTTACAAGATATTATCAAGAAAAAATACCCATTATATTTATAGCAACAAATAGCTTGATAATTTGGATGATGATGAGATTGTGGAATTAAGCATTTTTACCGTATACAATTCAAAGTCAAAAGCCGTCAATAACTAATATATACATGGGCTTAGCAACAAATAAATTGCATAATTTTAACTGGAGATGCATAATGTTAGAGGAATTAAAAAATATATGTATGGAAGAAATTTGGATTCAACTAATATGTTTACTTATGTTTACAAGAATGATTATTATGTTGCAACTAAAAGTTATGTATTGCTATATGCATAATTTATAGGATCATTAATTGACTTCAATAGCTCTAATGACAGTACTACAGGATCAAGCTCCTTTATGTATACAATTTTATTGCTTACCCTTTCCATTTCTTTCAACACATATTTGGATATGGATGTACAAGATTGGATTACAAGTGTTCAATAGATCGATGCCATATAGTCAAATACAAATTACTTATTGAAAGCTGAGCTTAGAGAACGCATTGAAATTAACAACCAACTTTGGGTTTTTTGCCAGAGACATGTCATTAAGTAAAAAAAATATTAATACTTAATTATTTGTTTTACGTATTTTTGACATCAATAATAATAAAGTATGATGTGTCAATTTGCTGAGATGGAGAAGAATTATAGGATTCATCTTCACACACTACAACTTAAAATTCAGTTGTCTAAGGAAATTGAACAAAATGTAACTATTTTAATAGCCCTGCACTGCTCGTGTAAAGGACATACCCCATTCGTGGCATAAAAATGGATGCCAGATAGAGGGTAGAGGAGAAAACAACCATGTCAGCGATTCTATGGGTGTCTAAAATGAGATGTAGAAATTTATATTCATATGTATATGTCGATAATATTTTGTATCTATATGTATACAAACAACCGATTTGTAAGCCACCAACTTTAGAGCAGAATAACAATGAAATACATTTGGCACCACCAAATGTTATTACCCTCATGCCCATTTACTTAGACAACTGTTTGAGAAAGGGGAGTAGAGGATATATGAAGAAACAACTTTATGAGATAGTAAAAGGAGTTGCTCGTATAAAAATCACAAAATTAAGATACCAACGTTAGGAACTTCCCTTTTTAATAGTTTTTTTAAAATATTCATTCTTTATTAATGTTTACAAATTTTAATTACTATGTGTTTATGTTTGTGTAATGATTTATATGAGACGAGAGATTGGATGACATCCGTCCAAAAGATTTGCAAAAAAAACTAGAAATTGGTCAAATTGTTGCCAGTTTATGTTATGTGCATAGTTTTAAAATTCATTCCTTTTCTCTTTATTTTTAAGTTTTTAACATTCTCTGATGGATATTTCTTTGATAGAACAACTGTAATGGATAATAGAATCAACCAGGAACAAATAATGTGTAATAAAAATTGGAAATTATTATTAAAAAGGTAATGTATTTTTATTAGTTGGTAAATAACATTCTTATTTTAAGATCCTTATAATTATATCAATCTTTCATGAAATGGATTTTTGAAACTCCTACACGATGAAGTGAAAATGAGTGTTGAGTTAAGAGAGGGGAATAGTCAAATCTCATATACTTATACTTTTGTTGTCATTGTGTTTATATTCATCATTTGATTCATGTCATAGATGTACTACATTACAAATTAATCCCTTAATTTTTTATTCCAATCCATGTAAACTTTTAGTTTTTTGATGGTTTTTATCTTGAATTACAACTTGCAATCAACGACCTACTTATTTGAATCTGGGTATTGGTCCTCCCTCTTTGACCATTAGATAGCAAGGCAAATGACACATATGGGAGTTTGAACATATTTTTATCTTGAACCAGATGGTAAATGTGTAAAATATGTTGGACATATTTTTATTACCTTTTTATCATTCTAATCATTTAACCCATCTTTTTATACTATTTTAGATCGATCAAAACTCTATACATATGACCCTAGGAACTCAGAGTGGTGTTGGTTTCTTTTTTTCTATTTACCAAGTTTTTTTCTTCAAAAACATTTTGGTTGGTTACCATGTGTCCGATTTTACCATTTTAGTCATAAATTGTTGTCCATTTTATTTTTAGGGAACACCAATAGAGAAGCGAATGGCGTTTCCAACTAAAAGTTTTCATGGCAGGCTTAGGATCCTTGCACAACAATAAATTATATGTTCAATGTTCATCATGTTCAAGTTGCTAGCATGCACTACATGTTGCAATTTCTTTGTCTAGACTTCTAAAAATATGAACATCATTTTATATGCTTTTTATGAATTAATGGTAAATTTCTTCTTCTTAATATGAAGTTAACTTAATCATGTTGTTATCAAGGCATTCTACTCTGGAAACCTGTCCAATTATAACACAAAACTTTTGGTTTTTGTCCAATTATAACCTCACTAGTGTGTGTGTGTGTGTATATATATATATATATAAGAATAAGTCAGTCAAATCGATAGTACATCTCATTCACGAAGCCATACTATAAGGGAAGTTAAGGAAGCGACCTATAAAATGACCGTCATTGGGTATCCATTCTTACCCCCGCTCTCTTTTATGGTGGAGGGTCGTTAGCGAAATGGATTTGATAGGACATAATTTCATTAATAAGTATAATGTTATAAAAGTAACTAAACCTTTTTATAAAATCCCACTATTAGTTACTTTGGGAAAAATGTGAAAAGTATGTTAATCCATAAAATAGCACATTATGCTTTAAAGTAGTTAGTGGAGCGTGTGTGGTTAATCGACACACTAATAGTGACTATAAAGAGTAATCATGGGCATCTCAAAAATTATCATTGATTAGTGGAGCAAGTGTGATTAACATACACATTAAAATGAGATGAGAAATGACATCGAGAGTGTCAAGCATATTTGTATGGTTATTCACATCTTGTTTGTGATCCTCGGTATCCCAATCATAAATAGAAGAGCATAATCTGAATTAAACATGACGTTGATAAATTCATTGAATCTCAAAGATCTAGGAATTTTATAGTTTGAAATTGGTAAATTGATTTTACCTACCTTCATAAATTCGTAGTAAG